TTTAATTCTAGCATTGTCTTTTTCTCTTATTTTTTCTCTTTTAGCATTTCTTATCAATTTTTTCCTAAAAATTCATCTGAAATATATTTTACTAACTTTTCTATACATTATTTATCTGATTTTATTATTTCTGTTTATACATTTCTTTTCATTAATATTTTTGTATTATTACTTATTCATTCCCATCAATTTCTAACACCTCTTTCAAAGGATGCTATTAAGAAATCTATTCTTACTTTATTATTTTTCCATGTGTCATCTTTATTATATAAAAAGAATAATATCATTGAATCTGCCCAAGTTAATAAGACTTTTTTAGTATCTATTTTGCAATTTAAATCTAATTTTGTTCCTCCATGGTTAATAGGTTTATCATAATTATCATTTAATTCAAACATATCTCTATATTTATTTCCTTTATGTGGTTGTTTATCTCTTACTTTATCATAAATTTTTTTATATGATTTATTATATATAGATGTATAACTTTCATCTAAATCTTGTAATTCTTGTTTAGAAGTTTCTATTGGATTAGGTCCCCCTCCAATATTCATTAAAACTTGATATTCACTTATATTACTTAAATTTAATTGATCAAAAATTTCTATAAGTCTAATTCTTCATTCATCTTTATCTTCTACTTTCAATTTTCCTAATATTTTTTCTAGATTCTTCTTCTTCTAATATTTTTGGTAATATATTTTTTCTAAAATCATTATTCATACTTCCTGTTTCTATTATTATACTATCTTTCTCAATATATTTATTTCCTATTCGAGTCATTTCTTTTTCTATTAATTTTTTATCTATTTTCTTTTCTTTATTTTTATTATTTTCTTTTAATTCTCTAATTTCAATTTTTAATATGTTTATATCATTTCTTTTTTCTCTTACTTCATTTCTTAAATCTTGTATATCATTTATTAATATTTTTATTAATGGCTTTAATTCTTCCATATATTCACTTATTGACATATTAAAATCATCCTTCTAACATATAAGTTAATTTATATTTTTTATCTTCTTTTTTATCTATTATTTTCCCAAATCTTCTATTGGTTATATCTGGATCTATTATCTCTTCTTTTACTATACTAAAATATTTACTCTCAATTCTTAATCTTTCACATTTTAATTTTGTTAATTGTCTATTATTTGATATTCTTATTCATTCTGGTATTAACATTATATTTTGTATTTTTTCTTGCATTTTTTTCATTTTTATAATTAATTTATTTAATTTTAAATTTGTATTATCACTTGCACTCATACTTCTCTTTGTAATATAAATTAATTTCTTCATCTTGATATATATTAATAATTTTTTCATATGTATATATATCCTTTATTGTTTCTATTATTAATTTTTCTAATATATGTTTTTTTATTTCTCAAGGTAATTCTTTAATTATTGTTAGTGTCATTATTTTTAATTTATTATGAATAGGTTTTACAAATATATAACTTCCTCTTTCTTCTTTTAAATGCCAATAATTATCTATTTTCCTTACTTAAATTTCCATGATCTCTATACTTTTATCAAGATGTAAATATAAATATTTGTATATTATAATTAATTATTATTTTAAAGATGTATAATCTAAATATTCCTTTAACTTTATAATAATTAATCTATTATTTATAAAATTTAAGTGTTAACCTAAATCTACAGATTTATATTTCTTCAGGTAATCTATTTTTTATGGGTTTCCTCATGATCTCTCGGGCTCTGATACCAATTAGGAGGAGCTACTTAGAGCAAACAAAAATCATATAAATCGAAAAATCAAATAAATCAAAAAACTATCAAAATCCAAGTAATATTTAATTTTAAGGACTAAATTAGTATATTATAGTGACTTGTTATGTAATATCTAAATGAAGGATATTTTAGATATGTAAATTGACCAAAGGTCATTTTGGAAAAATGGCCATTTTCTCTAGACTATTTTCATGTATTTCCCATTTTTGAATAATCCCTCTTAAGAAAAACAGGCAAGTTTTGGATTCTAGATTCAATGGGTCAGTGGGTCCTGGGATAAATCAGCATCTTTCTTAGATTGAATATGCTCCAATGAGGAGTGGCTTAAAGTACACGTACAATTTCATGGGAACAAATCATGTTCATACATTTGTCAAGTGGGAATAGGATAAGAAGATCCCCTAATATTATATTTACTCAATACAGAGAGACAAACAGAGATAGAGAGCAAATGGCTGAAGTAATTCAAACAATATTGTCAATGTCATTGAACAACATCTATTCAACCCGTCATTCCATCTCTCGTCCGCCTTCATTACCTTTTGGGAGGCCTACGCACCTTAGAAACTATCCAACTGTGACTCTTCTTTGGCCCGTACGCCCCACTGGACAATCCATTATAATTAGCAGGTGTGACCGCAGGTTCGGCTGCAATGCCATGGGATTAGAAGCGACGTCAACACCAGCCGATACTACTAAGAAGAAGAAGAAGAAAAGCAGATATGAAATGGAGAATTTGACGACGTGGTTGTTGAAACAAGAACAGGCAGGAAATATGGACGCCGAGCTCACTGTAGTGCTCTCTAGCATATCATTGGCTTGCAAGCAAATTGCATCATTGCTTCAAAGATCCAGCATTATTAACATTACTGGAGCTCAAGGCACTGTCAACATAAGGCGAAGATCAAAAGAAACTCGACGTCATTTCCAATGAGGTTGGTCTGTTTTAGATGAAAAAATATTTGTTCACACACTTGCAAATTGAGCTGCTAGACAAAAAGCAATTTCACTTGGTGTCACTAGTCTTGAATTCAAGTCTCAACACACATATTTATGAATGTTGGATACTTTTTAGGTTTCTGGTGAAAAATGAATTTGACCGGAGGAGATTAACAGCTTAATTTGTGAAATAGAGTGGTTCAAAATATTATCGAAGCTAGTAAAGATTGACCACTATCAATGAATAAAAGACGTGCATTTATCGAACTTTTGATAAAAATTGAATCCAATCTAGGTTGAGAGATCATACATCAAACTATATTTGAATAAATGTCTGCAAATAGGAATTTTGAGCTGTCAGATGGCATAGTTAAATGGTTTTCCATCAACAATTTTATACATATTTGAATATCTCGTTAATGCCTTACTAAAATAGGTACCACTATATTGTAGTTGTTCTGCAACTGCTTGAGATCAAGTGGCCGGACAGGGATTATAGCATCAGAGGAAGAGGATGTGCCGGTTGCAGTTGAAGAAACCTACTCAGGAAATTACATTGTAGTTTTTGATCCAATTGATGGCTCTGCCAACATTGACACTGCTTTGACAACAGGATCCATTTTTGGGGTTTACGGCCCTGATCAGCCATGCCTTGTCGACCTAGATGATGATTCTACGGTAACTCTTCTTAACCGATGAATTTACAATAGTCTCTACTTCATTGAGCACCTGAATAATTCAATGGTTATCTTGATTCTTGAATAATACTCCCCATTTCGTCGGATAGATATTATGTTTTCATCGATGGCGATTAGCTTTTCCACTCCGTTTTAGTTTTACTAACAGCGAAACTCTAATATCTCGAGATATGATCTTGCTAACAATCTTGTTGGGAATTGAGCAGCTTGATCAAGCAAAAGAAAAGTGTATAGTCAGCGTTTGTCAGCCGGGCAGCAACTTATTGGCTGCCGGGTACTGCCTGTACTCGAGCTCAGTGTTCTTCACCATCTCCATAGGAAGCGGAGTTTTGGGGTTCACCCTGGATCCCGCGTATGGCGAATTTGTTTTGACACATGAAAATATCAGGATTCCAAAGACTGGCAAAATTTACTCCTTTAACGAAGGGAACTATGATTTATGGGACGAGAAATTGAAGAAGTACCTGGATAATTTAAGAAAGCCCGGTCTAAATGGGAAGCCGTATTCAGGCCGTTATATAGGTTGTCTCGTCGGTGAAATCCACAGAATGCTGTTGGTTGGTGGGATATACGGAAATCCCAAGAACAAGAATGCCAAGAATGGGAACTTGCGGCTTTTATATGAATGTGCACCAATGAGTTATTTAATAGAACAAGCTGGTGGAAAAGCAATAGATGGATGCCAAAGAATGCTAGATATCACGCCTGAACAGGTAAATACTATTTTAGTATTCAAAAAGCAACTAAGAAGAGCAATGGTATTTAACCTGTCTATGTAACAGTACTTGTGTCATTAAATTATTAGTTCAATTATATATGAAGTTTGATGACACATTTATTAGGACTTATGATATGCTAACACATAGACCGTTGTTGAGTAACATTATTCAACTGAGAATTTATTAATCATTCCCTTTTTTGGGCAGATTCATCAGCGAACTCCAATTTTCATTGGAAGCCTGCAGGAAGTCGAGAAACTGGAAGAGTATTTATCATAAATCGAGCTCCCTCATAAGTAATTCTTGATTTGACATTTTTCTCTTACGCTGTGTTATTCTTGAACATCTTTAGAACTTAAGATTCATAAGTCCTTGCATAATCCAATCATGAGTTTACAGATACACAATACTGAATTGGTGGTTGAATTCATAATCTAATCAAACACAACGAATTATCATCCATTAATGTATTTAAAGTGTTAAGGGAATACAATCCCACATCGGTAAAATACCGAAATAATGACCAATATATAAAGAATTGGAACACTCCTCTTAACAAGGTTGACCTTATTAAGATGGACCCCAAATCTTAACATGATATCAGAGTCCATTAAGCTCTAACGAGCGATTCGATCCGATCAAGTCTCTAAAAATGAGCACACGGATTTCAAGATTGGTCTGCTCAAACGAGCCACCATCTTGCGGGGACATGTTAAGGGAATACAAACCCACATCGGTAAAATACCGAAATAATGACCAATATATAAAGATTGGAACACTCCTCTTAACAAGGTTGACCTTATTAAGATGGACCTTATATCTTAACATAAAGTGTTGTATGTGACCCGATAAATTGATTGATAAGGTAAAAAGTCTATCAAATAAATTGAATGAATTTACATCATACTAGCATTGAATATCAGTAAGTAGGACTATTCTTATGAATCCTATAACGGTGAGTTTCTTACTCAGTACATCCATGTCCTCTGATAGAAGTGACGATCTGTTAACAGCCTCTGATGGAATTGACGATCTGATAAGCAGAATATTACATTGTCAAGTTGAATCCCGGTTGATAATGCAGTGCAGTAATGGGGAAAAAAATGTTACTCCAAATGAGAATATGGAGAAGAATCCATATGCTGCTGACAGGAAAAACCAGGTCTGTCACTGAAGATCAAACTCGACTAAGAGTTCAGACAAATTGAAGTCAAAACCAAAATTGTCCAGATTAGTCATATCGAAATCTGGGATACCCTCTTCCCAACCAAATTCTGACGTTGAGGTACCATCAGGAGATGAAATCTCTGAAACTGTCTGTATGTCAGAATCATCAAAATCGAGCCTTCCTTTTATATGTTCTTTCCTATTGAGCATCTTCATGTCTGTCTTAAACGGAGAGGAAGTAGAAATGCAACGGGTTTTCTCTATTGAGTAGTATGCTATTTGTTTGGCAGGACTAACTAGAATTGTCTGTGTAATAGACGATGTGATTTGTTCAGTAATGTCAGAGGGAGTAGCAGATGAGCAAATTTCCAATGGAGAATCTGAATGAGGGGACAATGCTCGTGGAGGCGTTTCAGGACCAGAGGAATTAGCCAGAGGGGATGGGATAGGCTGAGTGGACAAACATTTAACAACATTAGATCCTTGAACTGATGATTCACTTGGTGCATTATCGTGAACATATGACTGAACTGCAGAATCTTCATGTCTCTTTTCTGAATTGACTGCTTGCATAACTATGCTAGAATCTGCAACGATGAACAAAATAACAATACATAAGCAGTGAACCCATTAACGGTGTAATAAAAATGGAAGGATGACCCTCACAATCAAGAATTGAATTTACCTTTGGGCAGGCGGGATTTCTTAGCAGTCACAACTGCATCTTTGACATCTTCGGATCCTTTTCTTTTTGTATTACTGTGACTTGTAATTGGAATCGAGAAATTTGTCAAATCTTGTTTGGACATAATTGCTGGAGTGTTATACTTAGGAAAATGCCCTGATGAACAACATAGTATTTGAGAATTCTTTGCGTCACTTGCAAGAACACGAGATTAACAACAATAACATTAATAATTATTTCTTTAACATTTTAAGCTGCAGCTAACTCATATTTATACATATCAAAAAGGTGTAGCATTCCAGAGTAACCTAAATGCACAGCTAAAAGCTTAAACGTTGTACTAAGCTGCTCAATAAATTCCATCCAAGATCTTAAAAACTTCCCAAAACAAATTGAGCAAAACATCCCATTTAATAAATAATCAATACATGAAAAAAACCATGTCTGTAAAAAACAGTTCTATAAACCAATGAACATAATCTAAAGTGATTAAAGATAAATAAATAATAAGCAATAACATTACCTTCTGCCCCTGATTTTGGTATTGTATTAGATATAACAGTTGGCGGCAACTGCGGCGGAAGGGTTACATCATCTCCATTAAAATTGTATGCATTCATGACATCCTGCATACCCCTAAGCAAATTCAGGACCCGGGATTTCTCCTGCTCTAAACGGCACCACTCTTGATCCAACATCACCTTCTTCTCCTTCAGTCTTATATATTCATCCAAAATAGCCCCCAAACTCAATAAACTCTTGGGAGCCTAGAGCATCAAAAAACAAACAAACCTCATTGTAAATTTTTAGCTGAAAAACACGAAACAACCAAATAATAATAATAATAATAAAATATTAATAATAATAATAATAAACTTACTTCTCGAACAGGGGATTTGGAGATGAGATTGGAAGCTTCGGATCGAAAAGCGGATCGGGTATGAGGGTAGTTGTTGTCCGAAAGATAACGGTCTACGATGAATGCAATTTGGACCGGAGTCACCTTTCCTTTGCCTATGTTTTCTGCTTTTCTTGATTTGGTTTGTTTCCTCATTTTCTCTCTCTACACAAGAAAATCAGAGAAGAATACGTAGATGGGTACAGATTTTAGAGAGAGTAGTGATGCATAAGAGTGCAGAAAGGGGAAGAGAAATTGAGGAGAGAAGGCGGGAGTATTTTGAAAGTGGAGGGATAATTTTCTAGCGGTTAATTTCCCTCGTGAAAAAACAGGCTTTTAGGCGCTAAGTGGTGTTTAAACTAAACTTCTAACTCGAGTTTTTGGCGGGGGGATCCCACTGTTTATCAAGTCAAATAGAGTGTTGACTCATTATCGCTTTCCCACCTGATCCGTCGTGAGAGCGTATAATTTATAAATTCCTACGGGCTCTCCTGCTAAAATTCCTATGGGTAACATATAGCAGTTAGAGAAGATATAACAGCCCCCATTTGTTTTCAATTTTTTTTTGCCTCATTTTAATGGTTTTTAGACCGTTGCAAAGGTAGTAACCCTTTTTTTGACTTTCTATCTCACAATGAAACTCACCTACTGGAAAAAAGGGCCAAAAACTTGATTCTTGCATTCAATAATGAGAATCAAATAGGGGCATAAACACTTTCCCACCTGTTATTTGTGAAAACACTCTAATCCTCGCTTTTCTTATATAAAAATTCTTGTGCTTGTTTGGTAGGGATTTTGATAATTGATTTTTTGACTGTTAGAGAGAAAGTGGGTCCTATCTATGAGAGAAAAATTCAAAAATGATGGTTGAAATAACGAAATAACAGTTAAAAATTTGATTTTAATTGATTTTTAAACTCTACCAAACAAGCTCTTTATGGACTCTCATGTTATCCCTCCAAATGAAGGATGTGGCTATTAATGAGCCTCTTAATGCTTATGTTCGTGCCTTTTCGGAAGTGAAGTTACCCTCAAGGGATGAAGTCTAAGTTAATCAGAATGATTCGACTCTTTAAAATTTTTAGCCCTTGTTTGAGCCAGATTCTTTTAAAAATTCATTTTTTAATACTCATTTTCAATCACATATTTTTTAATAAAATAATATTACATGCAAATTCAAAATTTTTCTTTAATTTTTAACCACACATTTTCCATCAATTTACTATTCAAAATGTATTATTTTCTTCAAAATGGGGCTCATGATAGGAAGAGCTGACATCGAAGGATCAAAAAGCAACGTCGCTATGAACGCTTGGCTGCCACAAGCCAGTTATCCCTGTAGTAACTTTTCTGACACCTCTAACTTCAAATTTCGAAGGTCTAAAGGATCGTTAGGCCACGCTTTCACGGTTCGTATTCGTACTGAAAATCAGAATCAAACGAGCTTTTACCCTTCTGTTTCACACGAGAAGACAAGGGCTCAGTCCTTTGATTAATTAAAATAGCTTATTTTTTCCTCATTGTCTAATATTTTAGACATAAAACAATATGTCTATAGGGTACCATCATATTGTCTCCTGTTAAACAACATAAACGTGTTATTAAAAATTGGAGGACTCCCTATTAAAATTCTTGTTTAATTTTATTGCAGTTACATTGATATTCTGGATTTCAACATCGTGTGTCAACATCATATACGATTAGACAACTCATATCTTAGCGATGCAAGTCTACAACGACGTGGTGATTGCGTATCGTCTCAAAAAGTGGATCATGACCTTTCAACAATCATGGCGACTAGCTCTTGGTCATCTTTCATTGATATGAATTTCCACAACTTGAATCGAGATACACAATGAAACTGTTCTTGATTCCTTTTATCGTCGGACATCACACGACTGCATGGGGTTCACCTTCTTCTCGTGATTACAGCTCAACTATTAGGGTGATATCACTTACCATTACCTAAGTTAATCTTTTGTAGGCAGTCTTCCTATTAAAATAACCACGTTTATGTTTTATATGAGAGCTTATTATCATTAATAGGGAGGAATACTTATACATGGCATGTTTGATCATTATATTGGAACGCATTCTATAAATAATAGTGAACAGAATTCTCTAACCGTCTTGGAAGTCAATGGAGCTGCTGTGTTGGAGAATCAAAATAAACAACAGCACAATCAGCAAGAGAAACATCAACAATTGACAACAGCTCAACAAGGAGGAAAGAAGAACTCCAGAAGAAAGGGAGGAAGAAATTCGTTATAGATAAAAGTTTGTTGTGCTATTGTTATTCTCCTTTGTCTATCCATTGCTGAACATGCATATAGCATTCATTTTTTATTCTTTACCGCCATGAGAATATTCTTGTAAAGGGCCTATATATATTGGCATTGTTTACAGAAATTTGATAAGAGAAAATTAATATAATTGTTTTCCATTCTCTTTAATCACTCTTTTGCTGAAGTCCATTACACTGTTTCTCTTTTATTTCTTAAATGGTATCAAAGCAAGGGATGGAGGATTCCGACGTAGAAAACCCAAATTCCCAATAGTGTTGTACATGACCCTACCCATCTTAACAGCCCATATTTCATTGGAAGCAATGATAGTATTGGCACAATGCTCGTCACTCATACCTTGGATGCCAATAACTATCATTCATGAGCATGATCAATTAAAAGGGCATTAATGATCAAAAAGAAGTTAGGGTTCATCGACGACAGCATACATGAACCAACATACCCATATGACCCTCACATGTAGCATTGTCTGCGTTGTAACGATATTGTGATTACCTGGATGTAAAACACGATATCTATTGACATCAAGTGTAGTACCACATATGCTGAGACAACACACCAGCTTTGAATTGAATTGGAGCAACGTTTTGCTCAGCAAAATGTGCTTTGAATTTTCGAAATCAAACAAGCTATAACCATGCTACTACAAAATCAAGAACCTGTGAGTGTTTACTTTTCAAAACTCAAAACTCTCCTAGATGAGCTCGTGAATTATGAAACTGTTCTTAACTATAATTGTGGGGGTTTAAGGATTATTGTTCAGAATCATGATGAAGTTCTTGATGGGTTTGAATGATTTGTCCAAGAGAGTTAAGGCACAAATTTTGTTCATCATACCCTTCCCTACCCTCAATGAGGTTTATTCAATGATACCACAAGAAGAGAAAAATGAGAAAAATATTGACTGAGTCTGTACATGAGTCTATAGCTCTTCTTACCAGAGGAAATTTCAAAGAAAAGGGAAAACGGAATGTTTTGAGCAGAAAATGGACCAATATTATTATGCTTACTGTAAAATCCCAGGGCATTCAATTGAAAGATGTTTCAAAGCCAACCAAGAGAAATTAATTCGCTCGCATTGTAAGATTTCTAGTCATTCTGTAGATAAGTGTTTCAAGCTTCATGGATATCCACCATGGCACAAATATAATGTAAAGAATAGAAACTCAGTAAATCAAGCAACTGCATCCTTGCCTTTTGCACAGGAAATGGTGAATAATAAATCACAGGGATTTTTAAAAATAGATTTCATAGCTTATGGCTCTCCTCAAACCAACCACAAATCCTCAACATCTGACCCACTCAGCCAATAATGCTCAGAGTATCATTGCTTCTTCTTCATCTGATGAAAGTATACACCAATTTTCTAGTATATCTTTGTGTATGTCTATTGTTAAGCTAAAACTTTCTAACATCTTGGATATTCTTTGGATTTTAGATACAGGGGCGATGGATCATATGATCTGTTCCACCTCGCTATTATCTTCCATTCAGGCAGAAGTTTCTTATTCAATTGCTTTACCAAATGGTAACAAGGTTCCTGTTACCCATAGTGGAATAGTGAACATTACAAATACCTTGACTCTTTGAGATGTCCTCTACGTTCCTAGCTTTTCATTTAATCTGATTTCTGCCAAGAAAATAGCTCAAATGTTTAACTGCCTGATTTTCTTTTCTTGTTATTGTTATATCTAGGAACTTTCAGCTTGGAAAATGATTAGCATGGGTGAAGTCTGGGAAGAGTTGTAACATATGATGCTAGAGGAGGTTTCTTCTTCAGCTTTATCAGATCGCTTGAACAAGTTATATAGTGTGCATTCCATTTTTGCTTCAGTGACCAGCAATCCTCAAAACTTTGATGTTTGGCATTATGGATTAGGTCACTCTTCCTATTATATTCTTAGTGTTGATAGTGATATTCATTTTGCGAAGTCTTTTAATGACAAATCTTGCTCTATATGCCCCTTATCTAAGTTATACATATTACCTTTTACTGTAAGTACTCATAGAACTAAAAAATGCTACGAGCTATTACATTGTGACATTTGGGTCCTTCTAATGAGATTGGTAGTGATGGTTCTAAATATTTCTTAACAATTGTGGATGATTTTAGTCGATGTACTTAGGCATATATGTTAAAATTGAAATCCAATGCCACTATTGCTCTCCAAAATTTCTGCACGAGGGTAGAAACACAATTTGAAACTAAAGTTAAGATCATTCGAACCGAAAATGGTGGAGAGTTTAATATGAAAAAATTCTACCTAAAAAAGGGTATTATACATCACAAAACATTCTTAGAAACTCCTCAACAAAATACTGTCATGAAAAGAAAACATCAACATATTCTTAAAACAGCCAGAGCTTTAAAGTTTCATAGTGGAATTTCATTAAAATATTGAAACTGTTGAGAAAGTGTTCCAAAATTAGAAAAAGAAAGAAACGTGTTTCTGGAATAACATCTTATTAATAGAGCTCTGCAGTTGGATTGTGACACGTGTTTATTTCCTATCCATTGGATCTAATTCTAAATTCTTCTATCTACCTAACCATGAGATAATTGGGAAAATATACACATTTAATGAGTGCAAGACTTTTTTCTTCCAGCCTGCAACTTTCTCTCTCTCACGTCTCACTTTCCAAAAGGAAAAAGTCTCTCTCTCTCTCTCTCTTCTCTCTGAAAATTCGGCCCTTCATCTCTCTCTCTCTTATCTTTACAAAAAACCCTTTTTCTACTTAATGAGATTAGGGCTTGATTCTTGGAATATTTTCTGAAAATAAAACCAATTATCATCAAGAAATATTGTAGATCCATATGGTTATTGTTCAATTTCAGTTTTGGTTAAGTCAAATCTATGGGATTTGAGTTTTACCCGATTTCATGTGAGATCTTAGTGGTCTCAGCCTCTTCCTATGTGTGGTAGTGTTTGGTTTTATTGTGTTCCTTGGTGGAATGTTAGTTGCTGGGTAATAAGTTTTTGATGTTGAATAACTCAAAAGAGGGCAGTTCATGTTTTTTGTGAGATCTTTGTGATCTAGTGTGATTCCTTTGTGGAATAGAGACCAGTTTTGTTATTCTTCATAAGATAAGTTTCTGTGACTTATTTCTTTGTAATATTTTGGAACATTATTGTATACTGGCTGCCTATTTTTGGGGTTTTATGGTGCAATCAAGCTTTATCCATTTTAATGGATGCTCAACGGGGGATTAGGCGTTAGAAGAGGTCGTCGAACCTTTGGGGCTTGGGCCGAAAAATTCTCCGTATTCATTTTATTTTCTGCACTTTATTTTCAGTTTAAAATTGTGGTTTTAGAATCTTGGTTAATATTAGTATCTCTCGACTTTTCAGAAACCATTGCAATTTAATTGTTGTATATCTCATAAATAGGACACCCTCTTCCAGGTTGAATGACAAAAGCCCTTATCAATTCCTACTCAATAAAAGGCCGAATTACTCCCATCTTAAAGTTTTTGATTGCCTTGCTTTTACCACTACTATTGTCAATAAGACATAAATTTGAACCCAGGGCGAAAAGATGTGAGTTTATAGGCTATCCTTTTGGGATTAAGGGATATACTCTGTTAGAACTTGAAACCAAGAAAATCTCTGTCTCTAAGAACGTAGTTTTCTATGGGAACATTTTTCCTTTCAAAAGTGATGATTCCATAAATAACACTCAATTCCAATAAGATAAAAACAATGTCAGTTTTACTCAAGATCCTATTGTCCACAATAAAAATGTTATTGCCACACAAATTCCAAATACTTTTCAAGATGTTGACTCGCCAGAAACAAATTCTGAAGTTAAACAATCCGTGGAAAACATTCCACAAACCTCTAACCATGATGAACCTCAAACTAATTCTATCGATGATCCTCAAAACCTTAATACCTTTGATTCACCATCAAATACCACTTCTATTACTCACTTGCCTCGAAGGTAGATGAGAATTCGAATAACCCCAGCTCATCTCCAAGATTTCATATGTCAACAGGCTACCTCTCTTCACCCATCTCAAGAGTTCGACAGGCTAAAGGGACAACACCCCTCAGGTAATCACTACCTTCTCAATGCTAATGTTTCTTATGAAAAGTTATCAACTCCACATAAAGCTTTTGTAAGTTCTATCACTTCCCAATTTGAACCTAGAAACTACTAAGAAGCCAAAAATTTTCCCAAATGGTGTGCAGCCATGAATGCTGAGATTAACGCTCTTGAACTTAATGACACTTAGGTTTTAGTTAAGTTACCTTCTGATAAGATAACCGTAGATTGTAGATGGGTACACAAAATTAAATTCAATGCTGATGGTAGCATAGAACGATTCAAAGCAAGATTAATTGCCATACTTGTCACAGTCAGAGCCTTGTTAGCTGTAGCGACAATAAAGGGATAGAACCTTTTTCAGTTTGATGTTAATAACGTTTTTTTGCATGGTGAGTTAGATGAAGAAGTGTACATGGAACTTCCTCTCGGCTACTTAAATGGTGATACCAAAAAAGTATGCAAACTCAAAAAAAAAAAAAAAAAAGCTCGTATGGGTTGAAGCAAGCATCACGTCACTGGTATTCTAAACTTTCCAACTTTATTATTGAGCAAGGGTATATTCAATCAAAGGTAGATTATAGCTTGTTCACTAAGAGTATTGACATTTATTTTACTATTGTCCTAGTATATGTTGATGACATAATTGTGGCAGGTGATTGCATTGATACAATCAATCATCTCAAAGCCTTACTTTATGACAAGTTTAGAATCGAAGACCTTGGTAAATTAAAATACTTCATCAGCATAGAAGTGGCCAGGTTTGCACAGGGTATTTATGTTTGCCAGAGAAAGTATGCTCTTGAAATTTTTAGTGCCTCTTGGACAACTGGTTCACCACCTGCAAGAATACCTTTGGATCAAAATGTGTAATTAACCAAAGATAAAATAGAGCTTCTTCCTAAACTTGCACTTTATAGGATATTGGTTGGTCGATTATTGTACTTAACTATAACTAGGCCTGATATTTCATATCCGGTCTTGTTATTGAGCCAATTTACGGAAAGTTCTCAGATTCCATATCTGGACGCAGCACAAAAAGTTCTAAGGTATATCAAAAGAGCTCCAAGCCAAGGGATATTTTATCCAATAAATTCGAAGATACGGTTACATGGATACGGTGATTCAGACTGGGGTGCTTGTTCTAATACCAGGCGATCAGTAACTGGATATTGTGTTTTAATTGGAAAGTCATTGGTGTCATGGAAGTCTAAAAAGCGACATATTGTTTCAAGATCCTCTTCAAAGGTAGAATACAGAGCCGTGGCCAATTTATGTTGTGAATTGACATGGCTCAGATATTTATTTGAAGACTTGCAGGTAGCTCATCCTCAAGCTGTTTTCCTGTATTGTCATAATAAGTCTGCCGTTCACACTACTACAAACCCGATATTTCATGAAAGGACTAAGCATGTAGAACTCGATAGTCATTTAATTCGAGATAAAATTTAAGGTGGAAGCATTGTCACTAAGCATGTATCTAGCATATCACAAATAGCAGATATATTAAGTTCTCAAAATTTTTACTCATATATGCTCAAGATGGGAGTAATGGATGTATACTCACCATCTTACGAGGGGCTATTAGAAGTTAATAGAGCTGCTAATTTGGAAATTAAAATAAACAACAATACAATCAGCAAGAGACGTATCAACAATTGACAACACCTCAACAAGGAGGAAAGAAGAAACTCTCTAAAAGAAAATAAGAAATTTGCACTAGATACAAGTTTATTATGCTACTAGCATTCTGTTTTGTCTATCCGTTGCTGAACATGTAATATAGCATTCATATTTTATTCTTTACAGCTATGAGAATATTTTTGTAAAGGGCCTACATATATTGGCCTTGTGTACAAAAGTTCGATAAGAGACAATTAATACAATCATTTTCATTCTCTTCAGTCACTCTTTTGCTAAAGTCCATTACATTGTTTCTCTTATATTTCTAAAAGCACATTAGCTATATTAAAGTGTCATATAAGTTATTGAAAATGACTATCATTTTTTGTAGGTGTATCGGAAAATCCCTGCCAGATTGACATCTCTTTAACACTCATCATGAAACAATCTCAAACATTTTATTTATAACACTAATAAGAATGAGCAACTTGTAAGCAGAATAAAAAGATCAACAAATTTTATAATTAGACCTGTTATGTATATGAGAATAAATAATCTTGGAAATAAAATATGGAACAATCCTCAACAGATACGAAGAGACTACTAGGAGCTCTTGACGCTGGAGAACTTGAACTAGGTTTCCCTCACAATAGATATGATAATAGCGACGTTCATGTAAGAAGTCCCACTAAGACATCTGATAAGTGTGTTTTTGCACACTTATTTAGGTCACAAACATGAATTAATAATCAGCAAAATGATTGAATTGTGACTTAATCTCATTATATTTGTGAATTGTAGTGAACACCGATGAACATGGTGAAATTCAGAAGAAAAGAGCCGAAAAAAGACTAAAATGGAGCAAAGTGATAGTTCGGGGACCAAGTTGTAAGTAATCCATAGATGAGACGGGAAATGGAATGAAAATTCAAGAGTGTTAGAGGTCAATCAGATGAGGAAAGGAGTCCAGAGGTGAAATATGGTCGAAGTATTATCAAGTATCAACTTTCAGGCGAAAAAATTATGCTCGTGATTTTTAGTTTCCACTTGAGATCCATTTTTGGCATAGTAAACACCAGAATTTGAGGAAGCCTATTTCTATCAAAATGTAGATCTTTGAGTTGTCTTCCCAATGTACTTTGAATCACTTCAATCAAAGATCGGAAGAGAAAGTTATGATCAAAATACTGAAAGCTATCTGACGAAAAAATTTCTATAACCATGCGGCCGCATGGTTATGATTCCTTGCGGTCGCACAAGGCAGTACTGGGAAAAATTTGGGCTGAAACTTCTGAACCATGCGGTAGCATGGCTTTATACCATGCGGTCGCATGGTATAAAAATGTGACGAAATCTTAGGTTTCCTTATTCGACTCAAACACGATTTAGTAAGGTTTTGGGCGATTTCCTTGACCTAATTCTGCCTCCAATAAATACCAGACAACCCTGAAACATAAAGGGGGGAATATACACAATTTTAGAGGATTTGGAGAGGAAGAACAAGGCAATCCACTTCAAGATTTCAGATTTCACTTCAAAAATCAATTGGGTGATGTTCTTCCTTGATTTTAATTATTGTTTTTCTTTATTTCCCATTATGCTAGGCTAGATTTTTATTATGCTAGGAGATCGATGCACCATGTAGTTAGATCTTTAATTTTCTAGTTTTGTAATTTGACATTAAAACATATTTCTTTTGTTTTGAATGATTTATATGCATTTATTGTTTCCGCAATTAAGGGCTCGTAATTGTGTGAATTTGAGTAATTTATTCTTGCATTCGAGAGAATTGGAATAGATTCGACATAATATAAATCATCGTAGGGTTCGATAAGGGATAGAAATATATCGCTATGCCCTACGTGAATCTTTAAGTGTTCATAAAACTACATGCATTTTTACAGGTGCACTTGTCATAGAAATATAGGTCGATGGTATTAGAAATAGGTTTGATACATCTCGAGAGAGAGTATTGGATAGACTTATGAACTTTGATTTGTCAACAATTGAATTATGTTGTCATATTGTGAAACTAGAGTTTAAAGTGATAATTGCATGGGAAATCGTGATTCTAGTGTGTTTAATTTCTATTGATTACAACAAACGTGCGTTCTCAACAATTGATTTCATTCTAGAGTTTTAAATTATTGTTTTCCATATTAATTTCAATTTAATCATAGAAAATTGCATAATTGGGGTTTAATTAGGTCTACATTCACTTTGGTAATTTAGTTTTGGTTAATGCTACGGTAGGTAAAATTTGAACTAATCAATCTCTGTGGGACGATATTCGAACTTATTTAATCCACTTTATTACTTGTTAACGAACCGTACACTTTTCGTGGTTTTAAATCGAAAGAAAATAATTTCACGAACAAGTTTTTGGCGTCATTGTCGGGGATTGAGTTTAGTTTAATTTTATTTCTCGAGGCACTAATTCGAACTCAAATTTTATTTTGCTAGCATAATTTTGTTTTTATTTTTATTTTTATTTAGGGTTATTATCCTTTATTTGTGTTTTAGTTATTTAAATTGTTTGAATCTCAGTGCTTGTACTTGTTTTAATTCTCAGATTTGCATGTCACGATTGCCTGGAGGAGAATTGATTCCAGCTGATCCTGAAATTGAGCGCACCTTTCATCGACGACAAAGAGATTACCGCGAAGCACAAGTACAAATGGCTAACGAATTAAACAACCCTATTATTCAAGCTAATAAAAGAGAGGCAGTGGATGAAAGAAATGAAATTCTGGGGGATTTCTTGACTCCTCAAGTTATTCAAAGCCAATCCAGCATTGTATATCCACCGTTTGGGCAGCCCAACTTTCAATTGAAGACCAATGTAATACAGCTGTTTCAAAATGGACACCGATTCTATGGCAAAGCCGAGGAGAATCCACACACACACGTATCTCGATTTCTAGATATGTGTCAACATTTCAGATACCAAGGGATTTCGGATGACGCTATCAGATTAAGGCTTTTTCCACATACGTTACGAGACAGAGCACTTGAATGGTTGGATTCACTCCCAGTTGCAAGTATTACTACATGGAATGAGCTGACACACAAATTCTGCACAAAGTTCTTCTCCCCACCCAAGATAGCGAAGCTGAGATATGATATATCAGTATTCAATTAAGGAGAGAATGAATCATTTGACGAAGCCTGGAACAGATTTAAAAACATGCTCCGAAAATGCCCTCAGTATGGGTTCGATAAAAAGACACAGATTCGATTCTTCTAAACAGGATTACTTCCATACCATAAGAGCATGGTGGATTCAGCATCAGATGACTCAATATCCACACGAACAGTTGATGGGGCATTGGGAATATTTGAGCGAATGGCTGCCACATCAGCCATGTGGTCTTCTGAGAGGGCTATCCTAAAGAAAACTCCAGGTGTCTACGAAGTGGACGCTTATTCAGCAAAATCTGCAAAAATTGACTCTGTATCACAAGATGGAAAGCATATCACAAGTATCACAAGCTAAGAAGAGCAATTGTGAGGAATGTGGAGCCGAGCACAAAACATCAGATTGCCCAATACTCATGCAAGGAATTGAGCAAGAAGATTACGCACAGTGGGGACAATGCCAGCAACATAATTAATATGGAGAGACTTTCAATCCCAGCTGGAAGTAGCATCCCAACTTCTCTTGGAGCAACCAGAATCAGAATAAGCCACAAGGACAATTTCAACAACAAGAGAAGAGGCCTCAATTCGAAGATATGATAGGAAAATTCATGGAGAAGGCCGAAGCTGCACTTCAAAATCAAAATGTAGCCATCAAAAATTTGAAAACTCAGATGGGGCAGCTAGCCATCGCATTGACTGGCAGAATGCCAGGTAACTTACCAAGTAATACAGAAATCAATTCTAAAGAGTAAGCCAAGGCCATTACAACTCGAAGTGGAGTACAGTTGCCTGAAATCCATGTCAAGAGACCGGGTGTGATTGGAGAAATATCTTTCCCCTCTGAAGAAGAGACTGTTGTAAATGAATCAAGTTCAAAGGAAAATTCAGAAGAGTCACAGGATAAAGCCAAAATCACAGTCAACCCTTCGAGTCTCCGATTCCCTTTCCACAGCTCTTGAAGAAGCAAAAAGTGGAACAATAATACAAAAAAATTCTAGAAGTTTTCAAAAAGCTCCATATCAACATCCCACTAGCCGATACACTGTTCCAGATGTCTAGCTACGCGAAGTTTCTCATAGATATTATATCAAACAAACGCAAGCTGGAGGACCATGAGACAGTAATGCTTACAGAGGAATGCAGTGCCAGAATCCAGAAAAAGCTCCTACCAAAACTGAAAGATCCAAGGAGTTTCACTATACCTTGCACAATTGGTGAATTTTATTTTGATAAAGTATTATGTGATCTCGGTGCGAGTATTAACTTGATGCCAGTCTCTATTTTCAGGAAACTAGGATTGGGAGAGCCAAAGGCAACCACAGCAACTCTACAGCTAGCTGATCGATCACTTACACATCCACGATGAATTATTGAAGATGTATTGGTCAAAGTGGATAAACTCATATTCCCAGCAGACTTCTTGATTTTGGATATAAAAGAAGACAAGGACGTGCCTATCATATTGGGACGACCATTTTTAGAAACTGCAAGAGCCCTCATAGATGTGTAGCAAGGACAATTAACTCTGAGGTTGTGGGAGGAACAAGTCTCTTTTAATGTTTTCAAGGCAATGAAACACCCCAACAAGCCTGAAAGATGTTTCCAGATTGGAGTGCTTGACATAGGAATCCCCTATAATTTTGAGTTGAAGAAACAAACAAACATGGCCTGTATAGTACACTCTCCATCCGTTCTTATCGATTCAAAGGAGATTAAAGCATTCGATGTGAGATTTCATACGAATGAGGAGAGAATGACAAATCACTTGGAGAAAGACAGGGATGAAATTCGGAGGATAACTGCAGTGCGGAACAAGACCATATTGAGCAAACTATGCAGGACCTCCCAAGCCATATTTAAAGGGCCATAAAATACCTGCGCCAAAAGTCGAGCTATCAACTATAAAATAGCGCTGGTTGGGAGGCAACCCAACGTTTCTATCCTTTCACTTACTTAGTTTTGCAATAGTTTAGGAAAATTTCATTTTTCTTGCATTATCAATAGTTTTAGGTAATCGATCATACATCCCTATCACATAGCGTCTAGGCATGGTCCACACGAGTTCCAATGCACTGAGCACGAGTCATGAGGTTGAAGTCCTATTTTAGTCAGTCGTGTATTAAATTGAACAAAGTGCATG